TCCTAGTTTAGCTCACCTACATAGGATAACCAGTTTTCCCAGCATTATTTGTTAAAGAGTTTATCTTTTCTGCAGTGTGTTTTTAGCTTCTTAGTCCAGAATCAGATGGTTGTAAATTGCATTTGTTTCTTTGTGCCTGCTGCACTGGTTTGTATGTTGTTCTTTTTTTGTTGTTGGTTTTTTGTTTTGTTTGTTTTGTTTTTGCTACCGGGGAGAGAACCTGGTAGCTTACACTTGCAAGGCAGGCAGCAGAACCACTGAGCTAAATCCTTGGCCCTGTATGTCTATTTTTGTGCCAATATCATGCTGTTTTTGTTGCTATGGCTTTGTGGTATGATTTGAAATGAATTGTGGTGCCTCTAGCTTTGCTGTTTTTGTTTAGGATTACTTTGGCTGTTCTGGTTCTTTGTGCTTCCACATGAATTTCAGGACTTATTTTTCCTCCTTTGGTGAAGAAAGTCATTGAAATTTTGATGGCAATTGCATTGAATGTGTGGATTACTTTTGGCAAAATGGACATTTTAATTATATTAATTCAGCCAATCCATGAATATGGGAGTTCTTTCCATCTTCTGATATCTTCAGTTTCTTTGGTGTTTTTAATTTTCATTGTAGTTTTTCACCTCCTTGGTTAGGTTAATCACTTGGATTTTTGGGTAGGTTTTTTGTTTTTTTGTTTTTTTTTTTTTTTTTTTTTGTTTTTTTTTTAATATTTTGAGTAGAGGGCTGGGTATTTAGCTCAGTGGTTCTGCTGCCTGCTTCATAAGCGCAAGGACCGGAGTTCGATCCCCAGTACCAAAAAAAAAATTTTTTTTTAGTAGAACTCTTTTCCTGCTTTCTTTCTCAGCTAGTTCGTTATTGGCATATAGAAAAGGTAGTGTTGGTTTTGTGTCCTATTGCTAAGCTGAATTTATCAAACTTCTTTCAGTAGGGTTTAAATTTCTAAGTACAAGATCAGATTAACTACAAATAAGGGTAATTTGAATACTTCCCTGTTTGTATTCCTTTCATTTGTTTCTTTTCCCTAAATGATCTTGCTAATATTTCAAGTATTACACTGAGTAGTAGTGAGCTTTGACATCCTTGTTTTGTTCTTAATTTTAGACAAAGTACTTTTAATTTTGCCCCATTCACAATAATGTTGGCTGTAGGTTTGTAACAGATGTTGCAGCCAGAGGGCCCTCACATCCTCTTTTGGTTGATACAGGGTCTACTGATGTAGTCCAGGCTGGCCTCGAACTCAACAGCAATCCTCCTGCCTCAGCCTCCCAAGTACTGGGATTACAGTCATGCACCACCAAACCCATTTCAGTGATCCTGTTTTTCATCTCTAGTTACATAGATATGAGCTTTATTGCTCTTTTGTTTAGTGGCTGAACAACTTTTTTTTTTCCCCGCTTTTGGGGATTGAACTTGGAACCTTGCACTTGGGAGGCAGGCAGCAGAACCACTGAGTTAAATCTCCGGCCAGGATTTATCACTCTTATTCATGTTTTTAAACAACAAACTCTTTGTCATTGATTCTATATATTTTCTCTTTATCTCTAGGTCATTATTTTCAGCTATGGTATTTTATTCATTTACATTTGGTTTTGGTTCTACTAAGTTTTTGAGGTATATCATTCGATGCAATTTGAGATATATGACATTTTGTTTCTGCTCCCTACCACCGCATACTACGGATTCAATCCAGAGCCTTTGTATGAGCTGCATTCTCGGCATTTTTTTTTTTTTTTTTTTTTTTTTTTTTTTTTTTTTTTTGTATGTTCTTTTTTCTTGAGACAGTGTTTTACAGAGTTGCCAAGTTGCCCTGGCTATACAGGAACTTCAGCTACACCTCCCACAACCTTACAGAGTGTTGGGATTATTGGCAAGCACCATCACACTTAGCTTTTGTCTATATTCACTTCAGGGAAGTAATATAAACACACAGAACATTTTGATCATTTTATGATTTTTTTTTTTTTATATAGGCGCTCATACCTGTAGGATTCCCTCTTAGAACTGCCTTTGCTATATTGCAGACATTTTGGTATACAGTGTTTCATTTTCATTTGGTTCTAGGAATTTTTAGTTTTTCTTCAATGACCAGTAATCATTTATTCTGAATTACTCAATCTCAATGTGTTTTTATAGTTCTTATAGTTTCTCTTGATGTTGATTTCTCGTTTCATTCCATTATGATCAGATAAGATACAATAAATTATTTCAATTTATCTTTTTCAATTTTTTTATATTAAGATATAATATATGGCCTAAAATATAATCTATTCTCAAAGATACTTCATGAGCTGCTTAAACAATGTAGTCTGTTGAATGTTCTATGTACATGTCTGTTAAGTCCACTTGATTTGTGATATTATTTAACTGATAATTCTTTGTTGACTGGGGAGGTAGGGATGACCTATCTCTTGGTGAAAGTAACTTCTAGGCTGGGCAGGCAGCAGAACCACTGAGCTAAATCCCCAGCACCTTGGTGAGAGTAACTTCAAAGTCACTATTATTGAATTAGGATTTAGATGCCCTCTTCTATTAAGTACTATCTTATGAAATTGGGCATAGCAGTGTTCAATGTGTATTTGTAATTGTTAGTTTTTGTTGTTGTTGGATAACCGCCTTTAGTAATACATCATGGTCTTCCTTATGTTTTAATTTTGTCTTGAAATCTGCTTTGTCAGATATAACTTCCTGCTTGATTTGAGTTTCCATTTACATAGAATATTATTTTCCATCCTTTCACTTTGTCTGTGTATATCTCTGCCAGTGAGGTAGGTTTCTTGCAGGCAACAGTTGGGTATTGTTTTTCAAACCAGTCTGCCACTGTTTTTTTAAGAGAATGAAGAACATTTACAACCAGAATTAGTATAGAAACATATGTTCTAATTGCTATCATTTTGTAGTTTTTCTTTTTTTTTCTTTTTTTTTTTTTT